TTAGAAGCAGGGGACAAGAATCATATTCATTTCAATTGCTTAAGGAATGAGAAAATTATACTTAATTATATATTTATGAAAGCTAGAAGCTACTCTGCATCTGATACTGCCATAAATAGATTGCTTCAAATAATTTAAGACCCTACTCCTATTGGATACTTACATTAACAAGTTGTATGATAAAAATTTTGAAGCTAGTTCATAAAACCCAACTCAAAGACCATGCTACAAGTTCTAAGACCTTACTAGATTGATGAGGATTTCTTAGGCACCTGTAAACCAGTGACCTATGCATATATATGTATACAAAGATGCAGACTCAATTGTGGACAAACACTTCCAGTAGATTCAACATGTACGTACATAAATAGTTCGAGAAAACCACCCATTTTCAATTCTTCCAAACCATAGGAATCATTTATTATACATTGTGAATAATGAGAAATTCCTACCCTTGTTTGGTTTGTGGGGAATGGAGGCGCCATAACATCCTTCCATTTCCCTCCCTCTTGCTTGTTTCTCCCTTTTTCATTAAGTTATACTAAAATTATAAAGGAAATTAAAGGTAAATCCTCCCTCCCATTCCCTCCCTTCCAATTTTTGTTATCCAAATAGGGAATTTTATTCCCCTCTCTTCAAAACAAACAAGGTAGTAAAAGAATTCTTTTATGGAAAAGAGTTGGAGTAATAAGAAATTACCTTTTAAAGAATTTTCACAAGCATTGTAGGTTAAGAGAATTGAAGCAGCCATAAGTAACCCTTTGGATTGATAAATTTGACTTTTTTTGTTACTTTGAAGTCTGAATTGAAGAAAGAAGCAAAATTAGTGGTGGAATTTATTATAAGGAAGAAGAGAAGTTGAGGATTAAGAAACTTAAATATATACCTCAGAAAAAGGGCCCAATCTCCTTGTTTTTGGATGCACTTCATGTGTTACAATGTATGGAATGTGAGAAATTTTGAACCATTCGAGGCCAGTTTCCTTTTCACATCTTCCTTCTAGCTCTCGACAGCCGCTAATTAGAAGATTCTGCAACTCGGAGAGGCGTTGCATGGCTTGTGCAGAAGGCAGATATTTCAAATTTGCGCAGTCTTGAATCCGCAGCGTTTGAAGAGATGACAAGCTTCCCAACCACTCCGGCAAAGCTTCCACTTGATTGAAATCATATATACTCAATTTCCTTAGAGAAGTGAGGTGTTGAATTTGAGGTGGTAGATACGTTAGTTTTTCCCACCCATGCAACCCTAATCCTTGAAGGGAGGCGTGGAGGTGGTGGATGGAATTGAGACTTGGGAATTCCTCCAACTCTTTTGAGAAACCACCAATACTCAATCTCTCCAAGCAGACAAGACAGCTGAAGCTCTCCTCCGGAATACTCCTCAAATTTTCACATCTGAAAATACATAAATCAACCAGAGAATGCAAGGCCTTCAAGTCTTCTGAGATGGAGATCAGATTATGGCAGTCACTTATGATCAATTCTTTAAGAGCAGTGCAGGAGGACAGTCCATTTGGTAGACTCACCACTGAACTCCATTTGGCAATCCGTAATTTTTTTAGAGAGGAAAGCCCATTTACACTTGGAATGGACCTCAGATCTTCAAATCCAGATAGATCTAACTCTTCTAGGCATGTGAGGGTCGAAATACTTTCCCCAATTGTTTCCAATCTTGGACATGACCAAATGCGTAGTTGTCTGAGAGACGCCGGAAAGGCAAATGCTCCATCTCCGATTCTGGTTAATTCAAGGCAATCTTGAATTTGAAGCTGTTGAAGAGATGATAACCCGCTCATGATTGGAATGAGCCTCAGATCCCCACAACTAAATAGATTTAACTCTTCTAGGCATGTGAGGGTCGAAATACTATCCCCAATTGTTTCCAATCTTGGACATGACCAAATGCCTAGTCGTTTGAGGGACTTTGGAAAGGCCAATACTCCATCTCCGATTCTGGTTAATTCAAAGCAATCACTAATTCGAAGCTGTTGAAGAGATGATAACCCGCTCATGGTTGGAATGAGCCTCAGATCTCCACATTTAGTCAGTTCTAACTCTTCTAGGCATGTGAGGGTCGAAATACTATCCCCGATTGTTTCCAATCTTGGACATGACCGAATGTCTAGTCGTTTGAGGGACTTCGGAAAGGAGTATTCTCCGATTCTGGTTAATTCAAGGCAATCACTAATTCGAAGCCGTTGAAGAGATGATAACCCGATCATGATTGGCATGCTTTTCAACTTTTTACATCTTAAGATTTTCAAGTTCACCAAATTTTTGAGCGAAAATGATTCACTCAAACTAGGCTCCATCCATGATGGACATTTTTCACCTCCATAACAGTCTATAGTTAATATTCTCAAATTTGGGGGAGGTTTGAGGCCTGCTAACACATCTTCATCATGATTACATTCTTCTGTATTTCTTTCTGTCCAATCCAACCTCAACTTATAAAGTCCAATCTTTCCCGAAAGATTTGCTTTCTCGGCTTCTGAGTAGTTTTCAACATGCTCTAGATCACATATATTTAATTTACCTTCAAGTTGGTTCAAGCATCCCAATTCCTCAATTCGACTTCCCTCTTGTAGACCGACAACAAATAACTGCAACGTTTGAAGATCCTTTAGCCTACCAATTCTGAGTGGCATACAACTTTTTTCACTGAAATAAATGTGTCTCAAGCTGATTAAGTTTTCCACCCCTTCTGGCTGTTTTACAATCCGAAAACAATACATGAACCTCAGTGTCTGCAAACTATACAACTCCATAATAAACTGGGGTAGTTCTTCAATGTCGACTGTTGAAATATCTAGATACCTCAAATGCTTCATCTTGCCAATCCAAGTTGGCAATTGCTTAGCATAAGCTTCACCAAAGCTAAGGATGCGTAACCTTTTGAAGCTATCTGGCATCTTACACAAAATATAACCTCCGAGAAATAAGGAGTGTAGTTTTCCAGCCACCTCTGCTAAATTTGTAGGCACTATTTCCCCAGCATCAACGAGATTCAAATGCCGAACATGTGCAATGTTGCTCTCTGAACCAGCTTTCAAAATAAGTGTTTCAGATTTTGAATTGTAAGTGGCAAGATCATGAATTAAATCATGCATTTTGCATGACTTAATCTTTCCAGTTGAATCTCTTTCTTCCTCTAGAAACAAACAATATGACAACAAGTCATTGAAATACTTGTTACCAATATCCTCCATGGAACTTCCCTGTGATGGTTGAAGAAAGCCTTCAGCCATCCAAAGTTGAATTAACATCTCCTTTTCAATTTTCCAATCCTGGGGGAAAATGGAACAAAGGGCAAAACATTGCTTCAATGTTGTGTTAGGTAAGCGATCAAAACTCAACTGTAAAACTCGAACAGTCCATGTCCGCCTATCATCTTCCAGTAAACTCCTTACATCAAAACAATTCTTAACTGACACCCATTCACCTCTATCCCTTGGATTACTCAGACTAGCCCCAATGACATTGGCAACTAAGGGTACACCTTTACATTTTTTAGCGATCTGCCTTCCAATCGCTTCCAACTCCAGATTAGGCACTGAAGAACCTCCGAATGCTCTCTGCTTTATTATAGACCAACACTCTTCATCTTCTAGTCCTTCAAGATGATACATGTGTTCTCCGAATGCTCCCATTATAGATGCTACATTTTCACTTCGAGTTGTCACAACCATTCTACTCACTTTATTTTTAGTTATTTCTAACAAACAACCCCTTAAGGCTTCCCACTTCATTCTGTCCTCATTCCACACATCATCTAAGATGAGTAGATAGTTTTCATTTTTCAACTCATCTTGTATTTTTCCCACTACGATAGCCTCATTTTCAATTGAACAACCCATTTTGGTGAGAGATTCTAACATCTCTTTCAGGATTTTTTTGACATCAAAGACTTCAGACACACAAATGAAAATTGTTTTACCAAAATTCCTCACTATTTTCTCATGATTTTGCACTGATTTTGCTAAGGTGGTTTTTCCTAGACCCCCCATACCCACTACAGATATAACAGAAAGGGACTCCTCATTATTTGGATCAATCAACAAGTCAACTATTTTTGACACATCATTCTCTCTTCCTATGACCCTAGGACAATAACTAGAAGAGGAGTATGCTGTTTGAGGGTTGCTTCTAGGTTCATGGGTAGCATGTCTGGACTGAAGTCCAAATTGAGTAGCCTCCTCATTAATCTCAACTATAGAAGCAATAAGATTCTTGATCTTATTAGCCATCTTAAGACGAAATATGAAAGGATTGGAGAAAGTAAAGAAGACGCAGACCTTCTTCTTCATTTGCCTTTGAATTTGTACCTCCTGTTTCAGTCTTTCATAAACAACCTCGTCCAAAACATCCTCAGCCTCACGAGCCACGTCTCTGAGGTTCTCAAGCCAAAGCTTCACAGCTGAGTCTCGAACTTGCCTTCTGTCTGCATCTTGCAACACAGCACGGATCATGGTCAACTTGTTGCAAAGTCTTCTGAGCTCTGCCTTCCAACTGACTGCAAGGTTGATTTGCTCAGTAGCAGCTGAAATCACCTTGGATATAGTGGCATCAACAATAGGACCCAAGACAAGATCGCCCATCTTCACTTCAATAGATCTGGGAAAAGTTTGCAAAGTATGCTGGAGAGTTGATAGGGATCTGATGAAATAGATGATGGTATATACATAGAGGGGTGGACCAAGGCAACTACTACTGTTGTCACGCGGTTTGAAAATCTCTAAGAACATTACCCTTTCCCTAGATGATCAGTATGCTGGAATCCATGTCACGGGATGGTGCGGTCAAAAAGTATTGTCAGGTCACTGGAGATTGGTATTGTAAAACTAATTTAAAAATTGACTTTT